GTGGGTTGCAACAATGGGCTAAAACAGCAATGATTGTGAAGATGGCACAGGACTAAGCAACCTTTTGTTCTATTGTAATAGGGTCGCTATGAGTTGGAAACCGACTCCACAATACCTAACACCATCATCCTGCATGACTTCTAAGGACCTTTTCTTCCCTAACTCTGGGAAATTATAAGATCCCAGGCCAGCCCTGCCCCTTTTCTGCCAGCTTCACTCCATGCAGGTACAGAGACCTGCTCCAGGATGGCTTCCTGGTTCCAGATGGCTCCTTCTGTTTTCTGAGAGCTCACTTCTATTGTGACCCAACCCTACCTACCTCAGCCTTTTGGTTAATTCCTTCTCAGGAAAACCTCTCAAGCCTTATTCCTCTACCTTTAATCCAAACAACTACAGCAGCTTCCGGGCTGGTCCCCTCCTGTCTGCTTCCAAATCTACTTTTCACACTGGCAGCCCAAGTGAGCCTTCTAAAATGCAAACATAATCACATCAATCCTCCTTCACCTAAAACTTCACTGGCTCCCATTGTCTGTAGAATGGCTTTCAAAGTTTTTGTTTATATGCTTGTTCCTAGAAGCAGAACCCTCTTGTCAGATGGAATCTCTCAGAGTCCTAAAATGCTCAATGGTAATATACGTTGATCAGGCTGAACGTACCATGGACTGCCAGAGGAACAAAAGGGGGGTTGGCCTGAGTCAACCTCGTGGGCCACCCCAGTGCATGCAGAGCAGCCTCCAAGGCACGGGCACTGGACTGAAGGGTCCACGTACCCCCAGGAAAAGCCAGGGTAAAGCCCGCACTGCTTAGTCTGAGGCCTGCCCTTCCCCCAGATCACCTTCCGTTCATCTCTGGCCACTTCTCCTCATCTTGCACCTTGTGCTTTACTCATATCAATGCACTGACTTCTCTAGGCCTTTGCACATACTGTTCTTTTTCCTTAGTCACGCTCATGTCTGTTTCCACAGGACTTTGGAGACAGTTTAGGTCACAGTTAAAGTGCAGGCTTAGATGGACTTAGTTCAAATCCCAGCACTATCATTTCTAGCTGCGTCACCTTGAATAAATTACTGATACTCTCTAAGCCTTAGTTTCCTCACCTGGGATTAAGTAAGATATTGCAGAAAAGGTGCCTGACACAGAGTAGGCCTATCTTTTCTTCTTCAGGCTAGTTGGGAAGGCATAAAGAGCTCATATGTGTAAGGTACTCAGCACAGCTCCAAGGAAGCACCTGTTACAACCCTCCCTACACTGGACCCTAGGAATCTACTGCCATGGCTACACCAGGAGCTTCTCAACATTTGCCAAGTCCTGCTGTGTGCCCAGCACTGTGTTAGGCTCTGGGGATCTAAGTCAAGTGAGCATGGTTATCTACCTTAGAGGGATGGAGGACCACGTGTACGGGGTGGGGCCAAGCCTCACCACAGCCACACTGAGTTAGAAGATCCCTTCCAGATCTTTTAGTGACAACCCCTCTTTTACCCTCATATCCATGCACCCAGTCCTGCTGAGTGCACCTCCTTATCTTCTTTCAAATTTACATTCACTTCCACTGGTGACCTGGCAAGTTGCTGTTGAGTCAATTTTGAGTCATAGCGACCCTGCAGGCCAGATTAGAACTGTTCCATGGGGTTTCTACCGCTGCAATCTTTATGGAAGCTGACTACCAAATCTTTATCCCAAAAAGTAGCTGGTGGATTTGAACTGCCAACCCTTCAGTTAGCAGCCAAATGCTTAATCACCATGCCACCATGGTCCCTTCCTCCACTTCCACTGTTATGTGCGTCGAGTTGTCTCTGATTCATAGTGACCCTATGTACAACAGAACGAAACACATCACAGTCCTATGCCAGACTCCTGATCCTTGCTATACCTGAGCCCATCATTGCAGCCACTGTGTCAATCCATCTTGTGGAGGGCCTTCCCCTTTTTCACTGACCCTCCACTTTACCAAGCATGATATCCTTCTCCAGGGAATGGTCCCTTCTGACAACATGGCCAAAGTGAGATGTCTTGCCATTCTTGCTTCCAAGGAGCATTATGGCTGCACTTCTTCCAGGATAGATGTGTTAGTTCTTTTAGCAGTCCATAGTACTTTCAGTATTCATTGCCAACACAACTCAAAAGCATCAACTCTTCTTTGGTCTTCCTTGTTCATTGTCCAGCTCTCACTTGCATATAAGGTGATTGAAAATACCATGGCTTGGGTTAGGTACACCTTTGTCTTCAAGAAGACATCTTTGCTCTTCAGCACTTGAAAGAGGTCTTTTGCAACAGATTCTTCCAATGCAATATGTCATCTGATGTCCTGACTGCTACTTCCATTAGTGTTGATTGTGGAACCAAGTAATATGAAGTCTTTGACAACTTCAATCTTTTCTCCATTTATTGTGATGCTACTTATTGGTCCAGTGGTGAGAATTTTTATGTTTTATGTTAGGTGTAATCCATACTACAGACTGCAGTCTTCAATCTTCATCAGTAAGTGCTTCAAGTCATCCTCACTTTCAGCAAGCAAAGTTGTGTTGCAAGCGTATCACAGGTTGTTAATGATTCTTTCTCCGAGGCTGATGCCATGTTCTTCTTCATATAGTCCAGTTCTCGGATCATTTGCTCAGCATATAGATTGAATTGGTATGGTGAAAGGATGCAACCCTGACACATTCCCTTCCTGATTTTAAACCATGCAGTGTCCCCTTGTTCTGTCTGAACAACAGCTTCCTGATCTATGTACAGGTTCCTCATGAGTACAATTAAGTGTTCTGGAATTCCCATTCTTCTCAATGTGATGCATAATTTGTTATGATCCACAGAATCAAATGCTATTGCATAGTCAATAAAATACAAGCAAACATCTTTCTGGTATTCTTTGCTTTGAGCCAAGATCCACCTGACATCAGCTATGATATCCCTTGCTCCACATCCCCTTCTGAATCCAGCTTTCATGTCTGGAAGTTCTCTGTCAATATAGTGCTGCAACTGTTTTTGAATTATCTTCAGTAAGATTTCACTTGTGTGTGATGTCAGTGATATTGTTTGGTAATTTGCACATTCTGTGGGATCACCTTTCTTTGAAATGAGTACAAATATGGATCTCTTCCAGTCAGTTGGCCAGGTAACAGTCCTCCAAATCTCTTGGCACAGCTGAGTGCATGCCTTCAGCATGGTATCCATTTGTTGAAACATCTCAATGGGTATTCCACTACTATCACCTTAATTCAGGCAGCAGCCTTCTAATTAATCTGTTTCCACAACTGCTTTCTCTCCTCCCATTCCAGTCTATCTGTTCTCCATACTGTCCTGCCAGAAAGATTTTTTTAAAAATGCCAATCTGACCGTGTCATGCTCCTGCTAAAAAAACCCTTTACTGACTCCTGTTACTTTCAGATAAAGATCACTCTTTGGCCCAACTTACCTTACTACACAGTCTTAGGGCTTGTATACATGAAGTTCCTTCTCCTTGATGAGATCCCCACCCCTCTTCACCCAGACCCCTTGAATCCCAGCTTAAACAGAACTTCTCATCCCCACCTGGGTCAGTCCCCACCTATCCCATGGACCTCTTTTTCATAGCCTTGTCACAGTGGCTGTTTCACGTTGATCATTGCACTCACAATGTGCTCCAAGTCAGTTTTCATTCACATTGTATCCACTTTCTAGCACAAGAACAAACCAAAAAACCAAACTCACTGCCATCGAGTCGGTTCTGACTCATAGTGACCCCCTTTCGGTTTCCAAGGTGGTAAATCTTTACAGAAGTAGATTACCCAGTCTTCCATGGAGTGACTGGTGGATTTGAACAAACTTCTGGTTAGCAAATGCCTTAGGCACTACACTACCAGAGCTCCACAGGAACAGGCAGTGCTTAATTAACAAGCCCCTCAATACACAGTTAGGACACAAGACTCAGATGAAACCACTTACCTGCACACAGCTAATTACAAATAGAGGTCTTCTGACACGTTAAACCATTCCAATGCCATTGTCTCCTTCTATCCTCAACCAAGGACTGAAAACTAATTCTGAATTCCTTCTTGGCTGCCAAGGTCAGTGACCCACTCCTGCAATGGAACTCCACTGCCGGCCTCTTGCTGTTTGGTATCACCAACAGAACATCCTGTAAGACCATCACCTAGTGGCATAAGGAGGTTCTCGAAAAAGTGAACCCCTTTGCCATCCTCTTCCTCATGGTAGTCCACAAGAGTAACCTGATGTGTAGGAGAGGGGAAAGCTGGTTGATTCCTTGGGGCTCGCTGTGTTGAGGCCACGGCCAGACCAACAGTAACATCAGTGCAGTCTTTGAGCAGCTCACCTAAGAAACCTATGAGGCTGTGAAGAGAGGGGTCATGGAGCCAAACTCAGAGTGGGAGGGAGTGAAGGATCTGATCTCAGACCCAGCCTCAGGAGGCAGAAGACCAAGGCAGGGCAAGGAGGATGTACCCAAGCTGGTAACCCCCGGGCAGAAAAGCTACCCACCCTGAGGTCCATGGAACCCTCTAAATGAACAAGGACTAAGTTGGGCACTGGGTAAGATGATGCTAGATGCCACTGAAGGATGTGGCCTTGAGGTCTGGAAGGGGTTTTGTTTCCTCTGGAGGATGGTGAAAATATAGGGGTTGGGATACCAACAATTAAGAAAAGACGGGCACCTGCACAGATAGGTCTTGCCCCAAGGTGACTACCATTCTTTTTGAGGGCCAAGAATGAACACAACTTTTTTCAAGAGTTTCAGGAAGAGTAGGTCAAAAAGGCTCTTAGGCATTTAACATTGCTAGACACAGGATTTCTCTTCAGTCTGGAGCTCATGAGAGCAAGTCACCACTGCCTAATTCTTAATGCAGAGAAACGGGATTCAAACTCCTATTGATGGTAGGGCCAAAATAATGGAAAACCCCTGGGTTTTCTCATGCACAGAAATATATAACAGTGCTGCCATCTGCTGACTAAGAGTCACACCCAACCTTGCTCAACCTCCTCCTAACTGGTGTTCCAAGGCTTGTATCTTTCGATTAATAATTTCTTTATTCTGTAAAAGCAAATGAAAGTCATATTCGTATAAACACTGACATTACAAAGTAAGGGGAAAGACGTGGGGAGAAGGAAACAAAAATCTCTACATGTCCTGCTAATACTGTCTCACCAAACAAGACCATAATGCTTTGTCCCATATCCAATCACTTATATAATAAACCACAAATAAAATCTTCTCTGGAAGATGCACTGCTCCTCTCTGAGATGGCAGGGAAGGGGGACTGGAAGTCAGGATAGGAGGCTTTATTCTTTTGGCAGATCCTCTCAGTCATTATAGATATTGCTGCACTGTTAATAAAAAATATATGCTTCTCTGTAAAGCATTAAAAAAAAAATTCCATGGATGAGATGGTTGAGGCCTGAGCTCAAGTATCTCCAAATGCATTGTTGTCCATTCCCTGACCTTTCCATGTGTTATTTCTTGGTTGTTTTCCGGATCAATGCCATTCTCTGAAAGGAAAGAGAAATAATTACACAGGTTAGAGACAGGAGCCTGAAGTCTAGACATTGACATGTGAGGAGCAGGCAGCATGGTCTACATTGCAGGCTGTAGCCCTCAGGGGCCCTACAGTCAAAGGACATCTCAGGAGGTTCTTCTGAAACTGAGAGCCATCTGCAGGGTTCCAAAGTTGTTAGATGGGCCAGTGGACCCATTCCTTTGACCAAGAGACCCAAACTGTTAAAGATTAAAAACCAAACTCCAAACTCACTGCCGTCAAGTCGATTCCAACTCATAGCTACCCCTCCTTGGGCTTCCAAGGTGGTATCTTACGGAAGTAGATTGCCTAATCCACTCCTTCCAAGGAGTGCTTGGTGGGTTCCAACTCCCAGCCTTCTGGTTAGCAGTCAAATGCCTTAGGCACTACACCACCAGAGCTAGCATAGCAGGATGGAAAAAAGTTAAAAGACAGGAGAAGGTGACAGCTTTGCCTTTTAGGGATTTAAGAGAGATGCCATCAAAGCATGTGTTTTGATGGGAAGGGGAAATGGAGAAGGGGGCTCTACTTGAAAACTGTTGCCTTACACAGAGAGCTGACATTTCATGCCTGACTTGCAGTCAAGCGAGATGAAGAACACCTTCCCTCACCACCCATCAGGGAAACATTCAGATCATGAATTTAAAATTTTACTGTTACCAGTCACTACCCAAATTAGTGACGTGCTTTGCCCACTCTTTTTGACCAAGAGACTGTTTCAACATTATGGTATTTGTTGACAAAATCAACACATAAGGCTGCAAAATGAAAAATGTGGGAGCAGAGCCAAAATGGCAATGCACTGTTTGGAGAGACTCCCTTCTGAAGAGCATCACAGTCCTTTGATTCAGAATGGTGGGTCTTGGTAGGGCTTCCTCTGTGAGCTCTGTAAACCTCCCCACTCCAGAGATACCAAAACCAGAACCCACTGCTGCTGGATCCATTCTGACTTATGGCAACCTTATCAGACAGAGCAGAACTGCCCCAAGGCTGTAAATCTTTATGGAAGCAGATTGCCACATCTTCCTCCCATGGAACAGCTGGTAGGTTCAAACCACCTTTTGGTGAGCAGCTGAACACTTAATCATTGCACCACCATGGCTCCACCAAAGATACCAGGCTACAGAAAAAGTTCACCTTTCAAATCAGAATGGCCAGTTAAATTGAGAGAGAAAACAGCCTTGTGACTGGAAGGCCAACACTGCTGTTGGGCTAACCAGTGACTTGTTCCACAGCAAAGTGGTGTCAGGTTCTCACATTGACCTCAAGGACCTTAGTTAACAGGGGGCAGAGACACTCAACTGTATACTTAAACATGGTTAAAATGGGGCAGAAACCAAATACCTGGCGACACACCCTGGGTGCTACCTACCAGCACAAGAAGTTTGTATTTCTGCTTCCTTCACCTGCCCTCTATTCATAGGGCCATATATGGTGTTCAAATCAGCAACATGAAGGAAGATTTCATTAAGGAAGAGTGGAAGAGGTGAGCTCCATCCACATTAGAACTAGACTCAATAGCTGTAATGCTCCTCAGAGTTGACAAAAAAAAACAGATCCCAAGTGGCAATAATACAGCACCAAGGAAATATCTGACTGGTTTCCCACGGAGCTCTGCTGCCTCTTGCTCTCTCTGACTTTTAATCTGAAGAGTGTGGCTTACTGTGTAGGGGAAGGGATACCTGCAGTGGACAACAGCCCCTAGAAGGTAGCTATGTGTACCCCCTTCTGAGATACTGTTCAAGGGATCAATTAACTCTGGCTGCCCTGAGGCTCTCGCGGCTCCTCACCTGTTTGTGAGCTTCTGTGGTGCAAGCTTTTTTGTAGGGTCGGATTTCTTCAGAGCCAAATCCTGGGATCCACATGTTCCACTGGCGCTCTGCAAGGAAAAGGCCAACACAGAGAAAAGGGGACCAGAAATCAGTGCAATGTGACCATCAGGCAAGAAGCAAGGAGGGCTAGTCTGGGCAATCAACTGTCCTAATACTAATCCTACGTGAGGATCCTATGGGGAAATTGTACATAATTCCTCCCAGGTTTTAAAGGATGTAACTAATTTGAGCTTGCAAACAAAGTGGTAAATTTATCAAAGTTGTGAGTGCTAAACCCTCAGGTTTTCACATGGATCATCCGTTCCACAGAAAACAAGTCATTTGCTTCTTTAATTGTCCTACTGCTGTGCTCAAAATAACCCCTTTCAAACCAGAGGAAGACATGGACTGAAAGGCATTTCTAGCACTCTGGAGCTAGAAGCCGAGTTCCAGTTCTGCTGCTTCACTGTGGAGCTGTGTGGCCTGGGTTTCTCCATCATTCACATGGTAATAACAACAGTACCTACCTCACAGGGTGGGTGAAAGAATTAAAAGACATAATAAATGCATAATGTTTAGTCCAGCACCTGGGTGTATGTAAACAGGAATACAGATATAGGCATGCTTACACCATAGCTCCATACCCTTGTGCCACCAAATAGTACCATCCCTATAAGACAGTCTCTAGAAATTCCCAGTGGGTAGGGACTTTGTTTAGGTCACTGTGTCAATAACTGGCATAGTTACATGGCCCCCTAAATCCACAAATAAATAAAGGTGTACTACACTTTAAGTAAGCCCACTATATATATATATATATATATATATATATATATAGCCTCGGAAATCCAAGGAGGGGTCGCTATGAGTCAGGGCCGACTCGATGGCACATAACAACAACAACATATATATATACTTACACAGGTATTTAGGGCATAAATCACTATTTAAAAGGATGTACATGAGGACTAATTTATCACATCACCCCTAGAGCAATGAAAATACGGTATGTTTTGTAAAATTTGTTTTATCCCAAGCAGGCACTTAAATCAAATTGAGTATTAGTGGTTTCTTAGTTATGGTTTGTATTTAATGCACAGTAAATACTGTGTGAATGAATGATTCATATTTAGCTCTAGAATAATTTGATATGCAGTTCTCTTCCAATAGTTCTTTGAAAACCAAAGTATTTTATTTTGAATTGGCTCACTCTGTGCTTTTAGGAGAAAAATGTCTGGAAACTTCTGCTACAATATTTGTTGTCAGAAGACACTAAGATTATTTTCTGGGAATTACACTTTGCAATCAACACAAAGTGGATCAGGGTACCAACACACAAAGTCACTTTAAAGAAAAAGGGCTACCAGGGATAAATGCATACATACATGTATGTATACATATGTAAGCATGTGAATCTATATACTTGATAAATTTACATAAAGAAAATAGCAACCACAATCATCTGGTGAAATAACTGGTACAAAGCTGTACTATGCAAAGCATTCTATGTACCTTATCTGATCTAATTTTAACATTCTTAAAGAAAGACTGTGGGTCAGAGGAGGAGACTCTTCAATCATGCAAATATAGAAAATGAGTCAGAAGCAAATACTGGAGGACCCATCCAGTCCAGTTCAGGAGAGATGTCCAAGAGTTTACACACCACTGGCAAGGCAACCCTTATTGAGGGTGTGGTCTGAAGGTCACGTAACACCAATAACCCACTGCTGTTTGAGTCTGACTCATGGTGACCTCTTGTGTGCAGAATAAAGCTGTGCTCCATAGAGTTTGTTTTTTTTTAACCATTCTTTTTTTTTTTTTTTAATTGTGATTTGGGTGAAAGTTTACAGAGCAAATTCACTTTCCATAAAACAGTTCACATACACTTTGTCTCATGACATTGACTACAATTTACCCCAATGCAACATCTCCCCTCCCACTTCCTCCCGATAGTTACCTCTTCCCTGTGTCCATCCCTCCATGCACTCCTGCCCCTGAGCTGTATCCCTGTGCATAAACAGCCCTTCTCCCATGATTGTTCTCTCCAAGGAGTGTATCTACCTCAGGTAAATAAATGTTCAACTCATATGCGCTCCATAGAGTTTTCAAGGCTGTGACCTTTCAGAAGCAGATCGGCCAGCCTTTCTTCCAAGATGCCTCTAGGTGGGTTTGATCGGCCAACTTTTTGGTTAATAGTTGAGCACTTAACTGAGTGTGCCACCCAGGGACTCCTTCTCTAATACCAAGTTCCTAATTCCCAATGTTCTGATCCTATACTCTCCAAGCAAGCTTCTGACAGGCTTGCCAAAGAAACTTCTGATCATGCAGACTTTTGAATATTCTAATCTCTGTGAAAACTATGAATAAACTGGTATTCTGGTCTAATATTCAATAATTAAAGAAAAAATAGGAAAGCTAAATTCACAAAGTAATATATTGTGGTAGCTTTAAAACCTGTCTGCAAATTCTTTAAAACTTCTCCCATTGACAACTGTAGTCTATTTTTCCTCCCTTTGAACCAGGACAGGTCTTTGTGACTACCTCAAAGAAAAGAACTGAGCAGCAGTGACACTGTGTGATTTCAGAGGCTGGGTTAGAAGGCCATATAGCTTTTACCAGCTGCTCAGGGGACTCTCAGTTTTGGAGCCTTCAGCTTTCATGTAAGAAAACCCAGCTACCCGGGGCTGCCACATGATGAAACCAAAGAGAGAGAGAGAGGGAGAGAGAGAGATGCCTGAGGAGTACCACATGTTTGAGTGCTCCCAGCACAGGCCTTGGACATGGAAGCACTGAAGATGATCTTTAAGATGATCTCAGCCCAGCCACCACCCGACTTTAACCACTTGGTAGACCCCTAGCAAGATCAGCCTCACTCAGCCCAGTCAACCCCCAGATTCATGAACAAAATCAATGACTGTTATCATTCTAAGGCACTGTTTTAGAGTAAACTACTCAAACTAATTAGAGTACTTGTCCTGTGCTATTAGCACCAGCAGCATCAGCCAGAGGTGTGTTACTTACTCTACCTAGACAACCAGCATTACACTCAGCTGAGGGAAGCTTTTTAGTAATCAGTCATGGGCTGATCTAAATTGAATCCTGTAATATTTCCTGCCTTATTTACTTGGCATGACTGTGCAGTTATAGATTATTCTCTTTCTCCTTATCACACTGTAACCGATGCAGAGGGTGCTAATTCATCTCCAAATGATTATAGTTTTCAATGTTAGACAAGTATCTCTCAGAAAATCTCAAGCTCAAATTTAGTGTCTGTTAAGTAAAAAAGGCTGAATGCAAAAGTGTACACCATGATCATAATTTTTTTTTTTTTCTTTAGAAAAAAGTGAATAGGCTAAAAACTGGAAGGGAACAATGAGGAACAGCTTCATTTGAACAGTAGAGACATAACTGTAGCTGCATTGCAGCACTCTTCCTAGGTGCCAGGCCTTGTGCCAATCACTTCACAAACATCATCTGTAATTCTCATAATAATGACCTCCATTTTATAAGTGAGGAAACAGGCTCTAAGAGAAAATAAGTAGGAAGGATAAGGTGATACAGCTAGAAAGTGCCCAAATCTAGTTTCAAGCCTAACGTCTGGGCTCACTATCCCTGCCATGGATGGATTTTTCTCTCTAATGCTGCCATTGAAGGAATACGTAAATACAGAGCCCAAGTCTCCTCCTGGCATGACGGTTCCCCTGAGGACATTTTCTCAGGCAGTCCTAAAAAAGCAGCAATGTGGGTACCTCAGGGAGAAATAAGACCACATACCTAGATGCAGCTGGACATCTTTCACTTCTAGGGTGCTGGACTTGCGATGCCTGGCAAGCTGGCAGGCTGCTGTCACCACACTCTCAATAAAATCATCAGCAATCTGCAGCAGCATCTGGGGAAGGCAAAAGTGGGGGAAGAGTAACCATGACATTGGCAGGGTAGGCTCCTGTTGCTGGGACAACTGTTATCTGCCTGAATCACATATTTAGTCGGGCCTGGAATCTGTTAGGCAGCCAGGAATCAACATTTGGGCTAAGGTGGGAGGAGGAATGAGGAAGACAATGGAAATACATCAACTCTTTAACCAGGTCCAGTGCAACTGATATGTTTCTGAGAATGTACTTTCTGTTCTTTCTGCCCTCCAGTGATCAACTAGCCCAATCCCTGCCCCTACATTTTCTTCTGAATCAGGTGGGAAAATAAAAGTGAATCACTATAATTCCTCACAGTCTCTCCCTCTTTTTTTTAATTCCTCACAGTTTCTTAAAGCACTTTGATTTTTATAAACTCATTTAGTCCTTGCAATGATCCTGTGTATAAAACAGGGGCATAGATTTTATCATCATTCTATACCAGAGGACATCAAGACTCAGAGAGACTACCCTCATCATGGTCATATAACTAGTAAGCAGTGGAACATTTTAAGATCTATCCTGAAGTACAATACTGTAAACAGTGACAGCAGAATATCCACACTCCTACAAGGAAGATCAGTCAATACGACTATTATTCAAATTTACAAACGAACCACTAATGCCAAAGATCAAGAAACTGAAGATTTTTACCAACTTCTGCAGTCTGAAATCGATGAAACATGTAATCAAGATGCATTGATAATGACTGGTGATTGGAATGCAAAACTTGGAAAGAGAGAAGGATCAGTAGCTGGAAAATATAGCTTTGATGACAGAAACACACTGGAAATCACATGACAATCTTGCATGACCAATGACTTATTCATTGCAAATACCTTTTTCAACAACATAAATGGCAACTATCCACATGGACCTCATCAGATGGAATAAACAGGAATCAAATAAGGACAATGGAGAAGCTCAATATCACCAATAAGAACAAAGCCAGGGGCCAACTATAAAACAGACCTCAGTTGTTCATATGCAAGTTAAAGCTTAAGCTGAAGAAAACTAAAACAAGTCCACAAGAGCCAAAGTGCAAACCTCAGTAATCCCATGTGAGTCTTGAGACCATCTCAAGAACAGACTTGACACACTGAACACTAATGGCCAAGGACCACACAGGTTGTGAGATGGCACCAAGGACATCATGCTCGAAGATAGCAAAAGTTCATTAAAAAGACAGGAATGAAAGAAGAGACGAAAATTAATGTCAGAACAGAGTCTGAAACTGGCTCTTAAATGTAGTAGCTAAAGCAAATGGAAGAAAGGATGACGTAAAAGAGCTAAACAGAAGATTTCAAAGGGCAGCTTGAGAAACATTATAAAGAAATGTGTTAAGACCCAGAGTTAAAAAACCAAATAGGAAGAACATACTCAAGATTTCTCAAGCTAAAAAGAATGAAGAAAAATTCAAGCTTCAAGTTACAATATTGAAGGATTCTATGGACAAAATATTGAATGATGTAGAAAGTATCAAAAGAAGATGGAAGGAATATACAGATTCACTATACCAAAGATTGGCTAATGTTCAACCATTTATGAAGGTAGCATATGATCAAGAACCAACAGTATTAAAGGAAGAAGTCCAAGCTGCACTGAAGACACTGGTGAAAAATAAGTCTACAGGAATTGACAGAGTATAGACTGAGATGTTTGTACAAACAGGTGGAATGCAGCAAGTGCTCACTCGTCTATGCCAAGAAATTTGGAAGACAGCTACCTCAATTGAGTGGAAAAGATCCATATATGTGCTTATTCCAAACAAAAGTGAGTGGAAAAGATCCATATATGTGCTTATTCCAAAGAAAAGTGATCTAATAAAATTCAGACATTACTGAACAATACCATTAGTATCACATGCAAGTAAAATTTTGCTGAAGATATTAAAAATGGTTGCAGCAGTACATTGACAGGGAACTGTCAGAAATTCAAGCCAGATTCAGAAGAGAACATGGAAGGAGGGATATCACTGATGTCAGATGGATCTTGGCTGAAACCAGAAAGATGTTTACCTGCATTTTACTGACTATATAAAGGCATCCAACTGTGTGAATCATAACAAATTGTAATTTATAACATTACAAAGAATGGGAATTCCAGAACACTTCATTGTGCTTAGGCAGAACCTATACAAAGACCAACAGGCAGTCATTCAAACAGAACAAGGGGATATTGCATGGTTTAAAATCAGGAAAGGTGTATGCCAGGGTTGTATCTTTTCACCATACTTATTTAATCTGTGTGCTGAACAAATTATCCAAGAAGCTGAACTACATAAAGAAGAATGCAGCATCTGGATTTGGAAGAAGACTCATTAACATGCCAACCACTTGGGAAGGGATCAAAACTGGAGATCCTGGATAGAGTGGAAGGAAAAATGTGGAAGAAAATTCAAAAACAATAACGACCAGAATTATTGGTCAGATGGAGTCTGGTGGGACCCCAAAGACTGTGGCCCTGTGATACACTTCGGGCCTGAGATAAGACTCACTCCCAAGGACTGGCTCTCAGCCCAACAGTAGAAAGACTTACATGCAGAACACCCAACCCAGGGCAATGCACCCACCTACTCTATGGAGATACACCCCTTGGAGCAATCAACCATGGGGTACCAGAGGGGCAGCATTTACATGGAGGGAAAGTTGAACAGATAGGAGTGCATAACTAAGAAGGGCAAAGGGATGGGGGGGGGTCACAGGGAAGGGAGAGGAGGAAAGGGTTAGGGTTAGGGATGGTAATTGGGAAGTGAAAACAAATGTACACAAACAGTTGAATGTAAAATAAATTCTGCTCTGTAAATTTGCACCCAAAGCACAAGATAATTTCAGAAGGCATTAGCTAAAAAAAAAGAAAAAAAAGACTCATTAACAGCCTATGATATGCAGATGACACAACCTTGTTTGCTGAAAGTGAAGAAGACTTGAAGTACTTATTGATGAATATTAAAGACTCCAGCTTTCAGTATGGATTACACCTCCACATAAAGAAAATGAAAATCCTCACAACTGGACTAATAAGCAACATTATGATAAATGGAGAAAAGACTGAAGTTGTCAAAAATTTCCTTTTACTTGGATCCACACTCAACATTCATAGAAGCAGTAGTCAAGAAACCAAATGATGTATCGCATTGGGCAAATCTGCTACAAAAGACCCCTTTAAAGTGTTAAAAAGCAAAGATATCATCTTGAGGACTAAGGTGTGTCTGACCCAGGGCATGGTATACCAGGGCATGGTATTTTCAGTTGCCTCATATGAATGCAAAAGCTGGACAATGAAAAAGGAAGACTGAAGAATTGAAGCCTTTGAATTATGATGTTGGTGAAGAATACTGAATATACCATGGACTGCCAGAAGATCAAACAAATTTGTCTCAGAAGAAGTATAGCCAGAATGCTTCTTAGAAAGGAGGATGGCAAGACTTCATCTCATGTACTTTGGACACATTATTAGGAGGTAGCAATCCCTAGAGAAGGACATCATGCTTGGCAAAGTAGTAGGTCAATAAAAAAGATGAAGACCCCCAATGAGATAGACTGACACAGTGGCTACAACTATGAGCTCAAACACAGCAGCAATGATTTTGAGGATGGGGAAAACCAAGCAGTGTTTTGTTCCATTGTGCACGGGGTCACTGTAAGTTGGAACTGATTTCATGACATGTAACAACAACAACCATGCCCCACTGAGCAAAGCCCATCAGTCAAATCAAATGTCTTGCTTCAAATATGCTTTTCTTTAAGAAGGGATAGCCAGAATCACCAGATATTTGAAGAAAGTCTCTAACAGTGTAAAGAAATCAAGAAAGGAAAAAAAGACAATGCAGGGAAAAGAAGAAAATGAGAGATATAAGATATTATAATCATAAAAGAACGTAATAGCTTGGGGGAATAAAGGACACCCCCTTCCAAGACTATGGCCCTTAGACAGACTAGAAGTGAACTCACCCCTGTGGCTCCACTTTTAGCCAACAAACAGACAGGCCTATAAGGTGAACAACACCAGGGAGGTACGCATTCCTTAGAACAATCAACCACAGCAGATCCAAAGGGCAGCATTTGCTCAAGGATACGGCTCAGAAGGCAGAAAGGGATAGGAAAAGAGGGAAAATGGAAGGAAGTGAGGAAGTGGGAAGAGTGCTGTTATACTCTAGGGATTGCAGTCAATGTCATGAAGCAAAATATGTGTGAACTGTTGAATGGAAAACCAGTTTGCTCTGTAAGCTTTCATCCAAATCACACAGACACACAAAAGGCCATTATAGTAAAAAAAAAAAAGAAGAAATTAAAAAAAAAAAAAGGGGGGGACGACCAATCAGTCAACAAGAAAAAGCTCTTGGAAGTTAGGGACTAACTAATGGAAATCTCCCCAGAAAGTATAATTTATAATTAAAAAGAGATGAAAAGTAGGAGAGAAAAGATTAAAACAAAACCTAAGAGGGTCAATCCAGAAGATCTAATATCCAATCAACTGTCATTCCAGAAAGAAGGCAAAAGCAGAGAAGAAATTATCAAAGTAATATAAGAAATAGTGACACTCATATGCAACTGGTGGGAATATAAAATGATGCATGATGCAGTGCTTTGAAAAATAGCCCAGTCGTTCCTCAAAAGGTTAAACATGATTACCCTATGACCCAGAAATTACACTCCGAGGTACATACATACCCAAGAGAAATTAAAACATGTCCACACAAAAACTGCAATACAAATATTCATAGTGGTATCATTTATAACAGCCAAAAAGTAGAGACAACCCAAATGTCTATCAGTTGATGAACAGATAAACAAAATGTAGTACATCCCTACAATGCAGTACTATTCAGCCATAAAAGGAATGAAGTACTGATATGTTACTATATGAATGAACTTTGAAAACATTATGCTAAGCTACATTCAGCTGGAGATACAGCTAAAACTATGAGTAGCACACTGTGCCTTTTTTGAGGCAAAAGTGGCAGTAGCTATTACGTATAAAGTGCCAGATTGTTTGTGTAAATTATTCCATGGGATGCTTACAATACTCTATAGTAAATATCATCATATCTTACCAACATAAGAGGAAGCTGAGGCTCATTTTAGGCTAAAGCTGGCAAATGGTATTGTTGTTGTTGTTGTTGTTTGCTGTCGAGTCGGCCCCGACTCATAGCGACCCCTCCTTGGGTTTCCGAGGCAGTATCACTACAGAAGTAGATTGCTCCATCTTCCTTCCGAGGAGTGGCTGGTGGGTTTGAATCGCCAGCCTTCTGGTTAGCAGTCAAGTGCCTTAGGCACTATGCTACCAGTATAGCCAAATTCAAATTCAGATTTGTCTGTCAATAAAGTCTGTACTTATGCCTGCTATGCTATGCCAGCTCTCAGGGACAGATTCTGTAAAGTATCCAACCCCACCTTACCTCTTCCACATCTTCATCCAACTGCTCATTAGGATCCACTTCTCTTACTAAGTCTTGCAATTTCTTTTTTGTTAATACCTAAAGTTAAAAGTTAACCAGGAAAAGATTTTTCAGCCAAGTACTAAGGAAACAAAACATTACCCTATAAAGAGGAAAGACTGTCAAATTGTTTAGTCTGTACTTTGCAAAGAGTTCACAGTCTGGCTACCTGATGGTATTGCTGTAAGACTACATTCTCAAGACAGACATAGCCTGTGCAAAGGCAGAAACAGCAGCTTGGAAGAGAGTCCAGCCTCCAACTGTCAGGGAGTTTATTCAGCCTCATTTCTTTTTCTTGCTGTGCCACATCTTTCCCTACCAGTAAACAATTTGCAATTCTCTGACTGTTACAAACTGTACCATGAGTCTGTTGTCTTTGGACATGCTTTTATTCCCTTCTTCCAACCTGCTCAGCTCATGGTAGCTTCTTTCTGATGCCTTTCCTAGCCCACTCCGGTAAAAGTGACTATTTCCTCCTCTGGTCTCTATTGTATTCTGTGCACCCTTCTATCACTGGACACATTTATAAGTTTGCCTGTGTCTGACTTAATAAGTTATAAGAGGGCAGGAAACATGTTCTCATCTCTGTATAACTAAATATTTGTGTAAGTATGAACAACTAAGACCCTTTTCTCATATTGTATATATGTGCCACTGAATAACAATCAAAAGATACCCAGTAAATGCTAGCTATGGTTAGTTTGGGGTGGTGGTGGTGAAATTATGGGCTATTTATTCTTTCTGTATTTCTAAAGTGTCTGTAATGAACATGGATAATTTCAGAAATAAGGAAAAAGAAAATACTGTTATTTATTGATGATATCTTCCATCTATTCATTCTTTTTCAATGTATCATTATCAACTAATTTAAGCCTTTGCCACATGCCTTGATTTATAACAAAAGTCTTACAACTGCTCTTAGTCTCAGTCTCTCTCCTTTCCTACCAGTCTTGTCTCCTGTCAAGTTGATCCTCCTAAAACACATTCCATTTATTATGTTACTCTTATTCCCATTAGATATTTGCAAAGATGAAAACTTCCAATGTAAACTTACTAGTATAGGCCTACGGTGGCTTGACATACTCCCAACTATACAGTTTTATCTCCTGCTTTTCTCTGATAGACTCTACATCCAACAGAGGTTGGTCTCCTGACTACCTGCTCAATCCTCCCCCATTCACCTTTGCTAGTCCCTCCCTGCATTCCACTGAAATGTTAGCTACACATCCAAAGCAAGGAATTATACTTATTTTTGTGTCTCTGGAGGGTAGAATCAGGAGCAGGGGTCAGAATTTAGAATTATTACAGAAAATTAATAATGGCTGCAGTTATATGAATTAGGAGTATTTTTATTATAGGAATAATGAATCAATTTATTATTTTATTTAACAATTATATAGTTAATCATAGGCAAGGTGCTATGGATGTGTGTGTGGTGTGTGGCTATGTATCTATATATATATAGACACACACACACACACATACATACAATACAGAGTAAAAACTGATAAACTTTTTTAAAACATGAATGAACTTTATACACAAATGATTATCTGATAAAGAACTCTGGAAGTCCGGGAAGAGAAAAGACCCTCTTTTTCAGCTGAGAGGAAGAGGTAGCTTCTGAGATGGATATGTCTCAAAGCATTACTGGTTCAAATGACACATACAAGGTGCCCACAGAGAACAAAAAGTAAGAGGACGATACCTGATTGTTTTCAGGGCTTAGTCGACCTCCTGTGCCAGGAGTTCCTGGTATCTTCACCACTGTAGTGCTATTGGCCATGGAGCCTTGTGGAGGGGTGCTGGCTGGTTCCGGTTTTATAGATGAGAAATTGGAGAGGTTGATTAGGGCTGAGGGGCCAAACTGGTTCATAATCTGTCGAGCTTTGGATTTCAACTCATAGAGCTTATCAAGATCCTGCTTCTTTTTGGAGCTGTGAGGACCAAGGCCAATCAACTGCAGGTAGAAAACATGAGAATTAACTCCAGAAGCACCTGTGATAAAGGGTGAGTTTTGAAAATATAATTATATGCAGTCTTCAGGGTCTTGGTATACCTGGGATGATGACCACTTGATACCTGCACACTAAAAACAGAGGGAGTGAAGAATGTTCATTGCTCTAACCTGGTATCTAAAAACCATCTCTTCTCCAAAAGCAAAACTAAATAATCAAATAATCAAAACTAAATAATCAAATTTAAATAAGGAAGAAAGTCAATGAAATGAGAAATCTTGTGCATAAAATTAAACTAAAATGAGCAAAACATTTTAAGCACTTTATAAAAACAGAATACTTGGTTAAGTAATACATGCATAAGTTTTTAGCATCAAATGTTAAGTCTAAATAAATTATGGCACAATCACATACTGAAAACTCAGTCACAAAGCTTCAGAAAACAGATTAGTTTATTTTGGCATTTCCAAACATGCTGAAGTCTATGTCAGGCTCTGCCTAACAAATACAATTTTAGCAATTGTTAAAAGTAAGCTCTTCTTTACCATCAAAAACAGTTTTTCTCTGCATGTTAGCAATCTTCAAGTGTGCAAAGAGTCTCCCTCCTGGAGCAGCTGGGACTCCTAAATCTTAGAGTATGAGGTTGACTCTTGGACATCAGCTTCGGTGCCATCAGGTTCACAAGCACATTCACCAAGCTCTGCCCACAGCAGCATCATGGAACTTACTTACAGCTATCTGAGTGTCTAGATCTTTAATTACATCAGCAACAGCTGTGAGCCCAGAGAAATGAGAGGCAGCCATGTTCAAAAGCCACCTGTAAATGAACAACTGGCATCAAGCACTACCCTTTTCACAGAACTATTTCAGATACATGGCCTGGCACATCTTCATCAACCAGGAGCCATGCAAACTAGATGCAGAGAATCATATCTCCTTGCCCCAGTTTGGTACAGGAAAACCATCTCCATCTCTTTTATACACAACTTTTATCCCTAGTTAATGATAGTTGTAGTACATATAGACTATCTTCCTATAATTTGTGTGTTTTATTGCTGGAGACAAATTAGTAACATATGAAACACTTTACTGGGCAAAACTATGTACCTGCAGGACTCATGTCAATGGCTTTCAGAACTTGGTGGTAAAGCTTAGGAACCTGAACGTGTATCTGCTTCTATTCTATTCTATTCTAGCCTCTGCAGCAAAGTTCCTCCCCAACATACTGTCTAATGCTCTAACATATCATCTCTTGACATATTCTCAGTAAAGACAACTAACCATGTACTGGTTAAAGAACCAAGAGAAACTAGCTAAGAGCCAACAGAGGGGGATAGCACAGTATCAGGATTACTCATTTATTTATTTTAAACCACATGTGGCTCACACCTCTTTCTCTCACATCCATGATTGCTATAATTATAGTAATAATTTTAGTAATGACATAAAAGTAATCTCTTTTTCCAGAGCAAGTTCCATGAAAAAGCCTTATTGAAGATTATCAAACTGTATCCTAGTATACTGTACTAATTGTTACTCTAGCCTCAGTGAAAAATACCATATTTCTCAAATAACATTCTCACATCTTCCAAGGGACTTTGCAAATAATACTGAGTAGTACTCAAAATAAGTACAGACTTTTTTTTTTTTTTGTAAAAAGAAAGAAAAAAGTGGAGATTTCCGTATAATGCAAATTTCTGTAGCAAGAGCTGAAGGGGAAAAAAAATAAATAAAAAAACCATCTTATATACCAAAGAACTAAATCTGCTGCTATCAAGTTGATTCCAACTCATAGCAACTCTATAGGACAGTGCAGAAACTGTCCCTTAGGTTTACAAGGCTGTAATCTTTATAGAAGCAGACTGGACACATCTTTACCCCACAGAGTAGTAGCAGCTGATGGGTATGAACTGCTGACCTTTTGGTTAGCAGCCGAGCGCTTAACCACTATACCATCAGGGATCCTTATAGCCTATATGCACAGTACCAAATATGGATAATCATGTATCAAATTAGGAATTAACATTTAACATTAAGGAACAGCTCCAATTGTAGTTGCTTTAATGAAGTAAGTAGAATCTCTATGGCATGAGAAAAATCAGTTTTTCCCTAAGAAATGACTGCAACTTATTACAAGTATTGATCTTCTTGAAAAGCAAACAATGCTTCTGAATTTTCAATAATTCTTACTAAGTGAGCAATTTTTGTTAAAACAAGACAAAGCAGATGATAATCAGATACCCATCATCAGGCTGATACTATCCCTAAGTTAACTAGACAGTTCCTTTATATTTAAAATGCTATAACATATTTGGGTGGTTTATACAACCATCAGGTACCCCTGGGTGGTGCAAATGCTTACACACTTGACTAACAGCTGAAAGGATGGCAGTATGAACCCACGCAAAGGTACCTCGAAAGACATCCTGGTGATCTGCTACTAAAAGGTCAGTTTTGAAAAATCCTATGGAGCAGTTCTACTCTGTACATGGGGTCACCATGAGTTGGAATCAACTCAAGGGCAACCACCACGACTAATAATGTAAAACTGTCAAACTCTACACACTAAAGATTTAAGATCTGTGCTTTTTTTTTTTTTTTTTTTAATTGTGTTGTGGTAAAATACATGTAACAACAAAGTTTTGTCATTTTAATCATTTTTAAGTGTATAATTCAGTGACATTAATTACATTTACCATGTTGGGCTACCATTATCTCCATTTCCAGGTTTTACATCTTCTGAAATGGAAACTCAGTACTGCTTCAGCAGTAACTCCCACTTTCTCCTTCTCCCAGTCCCTGTAACCACTAATAAACTTTTGTGTCTGACTTATTTCACTCAGCATGATGCTTTCAAGGTTCACCCATATCATTACATGTATCTGAACTTCATTTCTCTTTATGGCTAAATAACACTCCAAAAGACTAGCATCTAGAATACATAAAGAACTCTCAAAGGTTAATAGTAAAACAAAACAAGGCCAAAAAGAAATCCAATTAGAAAAAGACATGACCAAGTATTTTTCACCAAAGAGAATATTATTGTTGTTTGCCGTCGAGTCGGCCCCGATTCATAGCGACCCCTCCTTGGGTTTCCGAGGCAGTAGGAAATACTACGGAAGTAGGAATGCCCAACCTTCCTTCCGAGGAGTGGCTTGGTGGGTTTGAACCGCCAGCCTTCTGGTTAGCAGTCAAGTGCCTTAGCCACTATGCTACCAGAGCTCCTAAAGAGAATACACAGATGGCAAATAAGCACATGAAAACATGTTCCATATCATTAGCCATTAAAACTTGCCTATTAACATTGCAAATTACAAACTTCAATGAGCTATGACTACACACCTATTAGAATGGCTAAAATAAAAATTAGTGATAACATCAAAAGCTGGCAAGGACATAAATAAACTGGATCATTTATACATTGATACATAGAAGCTTTATTTGTAATAACTAAAAATTACAATCAGCCCAGATGGTCCTTATCAGGTGAATGGTTAAACAAATTGTAATGCATCCATATCATGGATACTATATACTTAGCAATAAAAAGGAACAAACCACTGATATATACAACTTGGATAAACCTCCAGGAAATTATGCTGAGTAAAAAAGGCAAATTCAAAAGAATATACACTTTATAGTTTCATTAATATATTTTTGAAATGAAAAATTTTAGAAATGGAGACTAGTGAATGATTATCAAGGTCTGGGTATGTGGGTGACAGGGAGATGAGTGTGGTTATAAAAGGGTAACACAAGGAATCCTTGTGGTGATGAAGTGTTCAGTACCTTTCCTCAGGTGATAAACAAATGAACCTACACAAGTGATAAAATTGTATAGAACTTAACACTAGAGAAATCTGAATAAAATTGGTGGGTTACATCAATGTCAATATCCTGGTTGTCATCCTCACTTTCAGCAAGCAAAGTTGTGTCATCAGTGTATCGCAAGTTGTTAATGAGTCTTCCTCCAATTCTGATGCCACGTTCTTCTTCATATAGTCCAGTTTCTCAGATTATTTGCTCAGCATACAGATTGAATAAGTATTTGGAAAGGATACAACCTGGACACACTCCCTTCTTGATTTTAAGCCACGCAATGTCCCCTTATTCTGTGTGAACAACAGCCTCCTGATCTATGTACAGGTTCCTCATGAGTACAATTAAGTGTTCTGAAATTTCCATTCTTCTCAATGTTACCCATAATTTGTTATAATCCACACAATCGAATGAATTTGCATAGTCAATAAAACACAAGTAAACATCTTTCTGGTATTCTTTGCTTTCAGCCAAGAACCATTTGACATCAGCAATGATATCCCTCATTCCACATCCTCTTCTGAATTCAGCTTGCATTTCTGGAAGTTCTCCGTCAATATACTGCTGCAACTGTTTTTGAATTATCTTCAGCAAGATTTTACTTGCATGCGCTATTAATGATATTGTTTAATAATTTCCACATTCTGTTAGATCACCTTTCTTTGCAATGGGTACAAACACAGATCTCTTCCAGTCAGTTGGCCAGGTAGCTGTCTTCCAAATCTCTTGGCGTAGCCCAGTGAGTGCCTCCAGTGCAGCATCCATTTGTTGAAACATCTCAGTGGGTATTTCATCAATTCCTGGAGCCTTGTTTCTCACCACTTCCTTCAGTGCAGCTTCGACTTCTTCCTTCACCACCATTGGTTTTGATCATATGCCACCTCCTGAAATGGATGAACATCAACCAATTCTTTTTGGTACGGTGACTCTGTGTATTCCTTCCATTTTCTTTTGATGTTTCCTGCATCATGCAATACATTGCCCATTAAAAAAAAAAAAAAAAAAAAACCTCACTGCCATCAAGTCAGATGTGACTGTTACCAACTCTTCCTTGGGTTTCTGAGGTGGTACCTCTACGGAAGTAGGTTGCCAAATCATCCTTCTGAAGAGTGACTGGTGGGTTTGAATCTCCAGCCTTCTGGTTAGCAGTCAAATGCTTTAGGCACTATGCCACTAGAGCTCC